TAAAAACATTTTAAAAACACAACATTAAGAATACAAATGAAATCTTATGAGCCAGGGCGTCAGATTTCTACCATGGCTGTGTGGGCTGTTCTTGACACAAGTGTCTCTGTAAACCCACATCCCAAGACCTGCTGGCTGTATCCAAGCAATGTGTAAGCAGGGTCACGCCTGCTAGCAGGTACATTTACAGCCCCGCTGTGTCTATGGAAGCTGAAAGCAGCCTCGTGATTGGCTGGTGGAGCTCCTCCTTGTAGGTACTGGACAGGACAGACACCCTGGACCTCATCAGACTGGAGACCACAGCACTGCTTCCCAACCCTTCAGCAGCAGGGTTGCATCTAGTTTTCAAGTTCTGAACTTGATCTAAACAGGAGTACTTCTTCCTTTACTAAAGGGTACTGAAATTAAACCTCTGGACATTTCCTTACAGATGATTAACGCTTGTTGCTGTTATTTTCTAATACTATTCGGCAGTCATATAGCAGTCACAAATGTTGAGATATCTTAAGACGTATAAAAACATATTTAGGAATGAATTTGATCCATGTGAAATTATCATTTTAGCTTCAATGCTGATCATCAGTATAAAAAATCATATATAGAAACCTACATACTGAAATTAGTCTCCATATCACAGTGTATTGTTACTGATATTGAAACAGTGTCCTCTTCGTTGATCAAAATGAATAAATAGTGAGCTGAACTTCAGTATTTACACAGAGTGCTGGTTGTACAGTGCCATTACACCTTGCACCCTGCACACCTTGCAGAAACAGAAACAACACAGACAACAAAACCTGCTAACTATTCCTTAACTGATAATGGGAATTATGTTACTGTAAATATTTAGGCTTAAAACGTCATTAAACCCTTTGTCTTTCTCGCTCACATCAAATGAACTCATATCATGAGCTTCCTGGGACTGGCTGAAAAGAATAGCCTTTCACTGTAAATTCAGGTGTGTGTACACAACTCCGAACTCCTTTTTAAGGTTAATTTCAGAATGTAACATTTTTACTCTAGTTTTGTTCCACAGAATTATGCTGAATTTGTCAGGTTGTTTCTGTATTTTTATTATTCTGTAATAAAGTGGGGTGGTAAAAGCTTGGGGAAAAAGCACAATTGAGGGGTACCCAGGCAAGTGTGGGGTGCCTCTGCTCTCAAAGTGGAGTCTGCGATGGGAGGTAGTTTGAGTGTTGTCTCAGGCATCTCACAATGGTGTCCTGTAGCAGAGGCCCCCAATCCTGGTGCTGGGGACCCCCACACCAGCTGGATTTCAGCATATTATTTAAGCTTATTATTTAATTGAAACCCTAATTGACCTGATGTGTTTGAGATCCTCCATTACCTATGACACATAATAGTTAAAAGTTGTTCTCCACCATGTTTAGAAAATCAAAACAATTGAAATACTTCAAATTCATCATATGATTAGACCAATTATGGGTTCAGTTATGGAAATGAGAGTCCAGCTGGTACAAAAACCTGCAGGTCTCCCTAGAACTAAAGGTAGGAGCCTCTATCTGTGAGACGAGCCTGCGATGCCAGCATAGATCTCAGGAGAGTGAGGACAGGTCCTGGAGAGAGGGCAGCTCCAGTTATTGTTCTTTTATACCACGCTTTTGGAGATAAAATAACTCAACCCAGACAGTCTCATAAAGAGTTTTTAGGAGAGCAAGTCTCACCCACATGACTGCAGACTTATTGAAATAACATTCCATATCTAATTTAACACCACTGACTAAATTATAACAAAACAGCCCTTTGTCAGCAACCTGTATTCCTCCACATACTCGCTGTATTTAGAAAAAAAACATATGAACACGGGGTTGGTTTAAAATAAATTAATTCAAATATTATCTTACTAACAATAGCAACACATCATAAACACTCTTATACTCACACCATAATTGCGAGTCTGCCTTCGGCCAAGGCAAAGTAGTTCTTCAGATTTATTTCTGAATGAACGCGGGTTACTTCGAGATACGAAGAAAGAGTTAAACCAACCAAGAAATACTTATGAAATACTCCTGGTTTCTATCTGCGGAGCGGCCAGGTTTTGCCTAGTATATGTCACGCTCAGACTCCGTAAGAGAACCGAACGGCAGTGCCCGAGCAGGCGGCTGTGCGTCGGGATGCACAGAGCACGGGGCGGCTGTATCCAGGCACCAGGTAAACAGACCTGCATCAAGGTGTGTCATGGAGAGATGAGATAAGAATCATTCTCTGAAATCGGTATCCCCGTCCCTCGATTCACTCTAATTTTTAATTGAAAAGGAAACTGTCAATCCCTAGAAAGCGTAGATGTGCGTTATGCGTATAACATTACAATCAATAACTTCAAAAAGAGTATCAGTCTCAAGACCTCAGATGTCATTATTGTGTGCTTCCAGTAGATGGCGCTCTGGAGTGGATCGGAAGGCGTTGACGTAAGGCAAGATGGAAGCCATGGGACTCGGAGTCCTTACGGCAGGGAGGGAGCCGGTGACGTGTGAGATTTCCTGGCTGCCGTGGTTAGTCTGCCATTTCTTTCTTTAGAAAGAGGTTTGAGGGGGTAGGAAACGGGTCAGTGGCGGTGAGTGTGCTTTTATTTAATTTAAGCGAGGGAGCATTCGGGATCCAGGGTTGTCCGTCGAAGAATATTCTGATTCATTATGGTAAGCGACTTTTTTGCAGTGGTGTAGTTGGAAATAGCTATTCTCTCTCGCACTATTGACTTGGTTATTAGGGGGTGATTGCTTAAAGGTTTGGAAGTCCAGAATTTAATTTTCGTATGAATTAGAACAGTACCCAATTTATGTAGCGGCGCTGAAAGGTTGAGTTGTAGAAATGGGATGTGTACGTGAGTCTCATGACTTGCGATGCTGTTTAACCACAAAACCTGTAGAACTGCTGTCTCCCATAACATGACTTAATGATATAAAATGGGTGAATCAAAGCAGTCCAGGTTTTTAGCGATTCGTGTTATAGTTCCCTCTATTTCGCTCTCTAACTGTACCGGGGTATAACTCGATTAGAGTTCAACGAGAATGAGTACATGTTAAATTTTAAAGATGACAGAGAAGTAGTGCATGAGTTATGCGGAGGAGTTTCGGACGCTTCCTTCTCGTGTAACTTGGCCGAGACCGGTGATGTCGTCGCTGTGAAGCAGCTGGTTTGTCGAGAACTGTGACACGTTCGTGTGAAAGAAATTCCGCTAGAGCGGAACACGAATGCTTGCTTGCGAGAACTGAACGCCGACTCCAGCGATGGTTGGCATTGTTTTGTGGACGCCGCTTTGATTTCACACCACCACGTTTTAAAATGAGCAGTCTGGACAGTGAGTTTGGTGAGGCAAAACGCCACGCCCGAAAGGGAGCAGACACAACCACAGCAGTGTCTGGAAAAGTAGCGTGGGCTCGTGCATTATCAAACAGGGCTTGAGGGAGATCTCATGCTATTTCCCAGCTCCTCATAACCACATTTTTTCAACAAAAAATAAGTGCCCTTGAATTACTTGAGTGACAACAGTCTCTTGGCTTGAAAAGAGTGTTACAGTTCATTTGGAAGAAGAGAGATCCGTACTCCTTGTAAATAGAATTACTGTAAAAGAAAACTTGAAGACAGGGCACAAACAAAAACCCATCTGGCCTCTTTGGAAGTGAGTGGTTAATTGATCCCAGGATATCCTGTTTCTGTGAAGAAATCTAGCGCAACATTTTAAACAGCATGGCTGGATTCCACAACCCATTGAGTAGGGGTGTACCTCCTGTTCTTGGTCCAACCTCCACACAGTCTCCACTTGTGTCCTCTGGTTTCTGTTTCGGTGTTGATTCTAAAAAGTGCTGGGTTGTCTCTGCCTGTGATCAGTGTGTCCTCATGGTGTTAGATGAAATCCTGTTTTATCCCAGAGAACCAAATGAAAAGAATAGGAGCGACACTTTGTGGCAGATAGGCCCTGTGTGATTGTCTTTCCTGACTCTCGAGAATGGAGACACAATGAGATCAGCAAGCGTAAGAATCAGTGTATATAATTCTTCGGTGTTAACTATGTGTGACACAGGAACAAGACCTTAGATCCAGGTTTAGGACTCTTGACAGTGGCAAGGGAATGCTCCCGGGGCCGAGACAGGGGAATCTCAGGATTCACAGTCCTTTCAGGGGTATTCGAGAAATCGGCTTCAGCTGTCAGCCATCTGAGGTCTCTCTACAGGAGAGGATGGCTCACAAGGAAGGTGTCTAATCTGAAAGCAGGGCTCGACCAGCAAAGTCTCGCTGCGAGGCCACAGGTGGTGTAAATCTTCTAGGGGCTTTGAGGGGAAACTAATATGTGTTCAGTACCTGTCACTGGCCATGCAGGAGCAGCAGGTTAACTTCGTTCAGCAGTAAAACACCAGAGAGCGAGACCAGGGTGGGGCCGGCCTCAGCTGATGCCCTGTTTCCTGGCCGGACTAGAGCTTCATGTGCTCAGGTCCACCAGGACCCCACCCCCACACCCATGTGTGTTCACTCTTGGCAGCCGGGAATCAGTGCGGGCTCTGGCACTCCCTGGGTCTCTTCCAGCTGGGATCGCTGCTCTTCTGTACCCATTTCCCAGGGAAGGGCACTCGCAGCCAGTCGAAACCCAGGTGGGGGTGCAGCCTCCTGGTCCGCAGGTGCAGGGCCCGAGAGCTGTGTGCGGGAGGGGTGAGCAGCCGGGGGAAGATAAAGGTTTTCTTGCTTTTCTCTTCGAGTGAACGGAGGTTGGGGTTTGCGCGGAGCATGGCACGCACTGACCTGTACAGTTCACAGGCGGAGAGCGGAGAGCTGCTCGGCGTGAGATATCAGCCCTGGCGTCCGGAGCAAGACTCCATTCACACATACGGATGCAGTGGTGCATTCTCTACCTGCAGCTGTATTATGCACACCCTGCGATATTTAAAGCAGGTTCTCACACGGATAACTCAGAAACCCTAGGGCCACATTCACGTTAAGCCCTGTGTCCTAGGGAAAATTATCTGCACTTTAACTCCCAGCCTCCCGAAAGTTCCCCATTAATTTGGTTGCAGATTCTCACTTCTCGTTTGTCAGTCCTGCACCTGATCTGCTGTGCAGTGGGGCAGCCCTACAACAGGAGACAAAGAGCTGTTCTGTAGGGTGCTCTGGGCTGCTTTGCATACAAAAAGCAGCATACAAGTGCAAGGGGATATGACAATGATGATGGTTCATTTTATGTGTAACACAAGACGACTGAAAGCGTTTTGGCAAAAACGCAGCTGTGTCTGCAATGTAGAAGGTGCATGTTGTTTGTACCCTGAGGTCTGGAGAACCGTGTCTTGCCTGATAATCACACCCCCTGTGTTCGGGGACCATGCGTTTTCCAGTGTGAAGGGTCTGGGCAGGTGTGAGCTGTCGAGGGATTTAAATCAGGTGGGTGAGATTCAGAGCCTCAGATTGCTGTGACGTGGCACAGCGGCGTTCGGGGAGGTCAGGTCGGGCAGAGCACAACCCTGCGTGGGAAGAAAGGAGTAGAGAGGATCGAGTGCAGGCGATGCCATAGGGGCGTACTGACACCCGTGCTTGTGATCAGATCTGATCCTGGACAGAGGTCTTCTACAGGAAGCTGAGTCCCTGATCATGTCTCTTCAGTGTTTTGTCTCTTGCTATCCGCTAATGACCAGATGCATACTAGACTGTATGCCCTGCTCTGGCTGGTGTTCCTCTTTGCGGTCTTTTGTGAGCCACCCTTTTTTTATTCAGTTTCTGCACTGTTCCCCTGATTAAAAGAGCAACAGGCTTTAAACTCTCCTATCATTCATTGTTTTCCCTGTTCTGTAATTCCAAAGGTTTGGAAAGACAGTCAGGAAACTGGGGCAAACCCCAGATTGTTAATAATCTCCCCCGCGGGAGAGGGTGCTTGCGATGCCCAGCCCACCAGAGGAAACTATTCCAGATGTGACGGAGGCCCTTGGGCGGCAGAGATCCCAGATTGATCCCAGCGCTCGCCCTCATCCCTCTCTCCAGCTCCGCGCCTGTCGTGCTGAGGGCGACGATCAAGCACTTGAAACTAATCCTGTTCTGGTTGGAATTCTCCTTGGGTTTCGGTGGAAACTCCATGAGCTGTTGGATGGGATGTGCTTGTGAGCCTGCTCCCTGGACAGCTGCCCGGGCTGTTGATGGGTCTGTCATGAAGTGAAGAGAAACATCTGCTCTCTCACACAGGCTTCCCAGTACAGTGTTTCAGTTAGGGAGCCAGGACTTTCTAAGCTATTAAAAGCAAAGAGCCAACAATATTGTATTAGAGCATCCCTCCTGGTTTCCTGTAGGCTGTCCAACGCTGCTCCATTTTAGTGCTAGTTTGTAGATTAAAATGTCAGCTTTCAGGCTGCCAGGTGTTATAGTGAGTATGGGGGGCAGAAGAATTGAATCTTTTTAGTCTTGGAGAAGAATTAGACAAGGGGACATGATTCAGCTATTGTGAATCTTCTAGTCAACCTAATGGACTTGTTCAGAATCAACAGGGAGACAAAAACCAAAAGGACACGTGGAAACTACAAGAAAGTGCATTTAAAACTGAGAACAAGAGGCACCTCTTTACGCAAAGGGTGGTGGGAGTCTGGAACAAGCTACGCAGTTAGGTTATTAAAGAAGATATACCATCTTCTTTCAAACAACAGCTGGATGAGATGTTTGGTTGCCTTATTTACTAAATATCTAATGGGCTGGGTGGACCAAGTGGCCTTCTCTTGTGTCAACCTGTAACTCCTGCTCATTCAGAGAAGAGGGTGTCACGAAGAGGGACAGAACAGCTTCACTGCAGGGGGGCTTCAGGTCTTGACACTCCCGGTGTTGACACTGGTGCTACAGAAGTCAAGAGAATCAGCCGCAGAGGTGTAAACCTGCTCTAGTACTGCACTTCCAGTCTTTCTGTGTAGTTTAACTTCCTTACATAAAAAACTGAATTCAAACATTTTACTGACAAAAGAGAAACGTCCAGTTTCTAAGGAACAAGGTACATCCGCTTTTTCAGTCCTAAGGTTCCCTGTTTTATTGCCTGTCCTATTTTGGGCCGGATCAGAACTCTGTTCATTCAGAATTAGGTCCATTAATAGGGCTGCTGGGATTCAGCAGGATGAAGCAAGGCTTTGCTCTAAAAATAGTGTTAGATTAAGTCATCCAGGGCTTTGCATCTCTCCCTCTTTCTTTATGTTGGGGAAATGTTTAGAAGACTCAGACTGAAGACCGAAGGAAACTGTTTTTTCACAGCACTGCGCGAATCAGAAGAGCTAAAGCTGACTTCAATTGAAGAGACCGGCTGAGGATTGTTAGAGATCGTTTTCAGCGTGTCAGGACTTACGCACAACAAACGGCCTTGTTCTGTGTCCAGGTGCGCAGCTGTTGCATTGTGGGAAGGAGTAAAGCAGAAGTGTCCTCTCTTCCTGTTTCCCCAGCGGAGGGCGAGGGGCTGACCCGGGCTGCTCTGGCCTCCACGCCGGGCGATGGGCGGTGGGCGTCCGGGCATAACCGCGAGTGACCAAGATGGGCGCGCGGCTGTGGAGCCGCTGGGGGGACGTCTCCACCCCCGTCCTGTACGGCTCCCTGGCGCTCTTCATCTCCATCCTCCACAACGTCTTCCTCCTCTACTACGTGGAGACCTTCGTGTCCGTCTACAAGATCGACAAGGTGTCCTTCTGGGTGGGGGAGGTGAGTTGGCTTGTTGGAGAGCAGGGAACTCTGTTGCTTGGACACGGTGCGGATGGATTAGTTGGTCCTGAGACCAGAATGTCCAATCCAGTACTTCAGTGCTATAGGAGCAGTCTTTTGGATGAAACATTAACCTGTGGTCCTGACTACTTCTTTAAAGATCCCACGGCACTGCTCTTAAGAGTGTCCCAGTGTCCTGGCTAAATTCCACAGTCTGAACTCCATAACGTTCCCCCTTATTTCAGCTGGTGAAGTAGTGTCTCTCTCCTCCCCCTGCTCTGCTGTGCAGTGGGGCTGCTGAGTCACCCTGGGTGGGCTGCACTTCTGTGGTGCAGATATATACAGTATATATAGAAAGTGCTTTGGGATCTCTTGTGATAAAAAGCACTAAATTGATGCAGTCGAGTATGAATATTATTTCATGTCCTCTCCTGGCGTCGTAGTGTTGATCTAAACAGGTTTGTGAACATCCAGTCCTTCAGGAACTGCCGGGCCTGCTACTTCTTGTCCCAGCAGCAGTGTTCAGCAGCGTAATTGAATTATTTGCTCAGTGGGATGTGCTCAGTTTGTATTTCCAGGTCTTTTCTGTCCTGTGGTTTGACAGTTACATTGGAGTGTAGAGCCCCTGAAAAGTAGTTTAAACATATCCAATTAATTCAGTAAGTACCAAAGTTAGGCTATCAGGTACTGTTGAGTTCATTTGAGTGGTTTTCCTCACTGGCTTACCATGTTTCAGAAAAGAGAGAAACCTCTGAAAATTGCAAAATAACACAACTCTCTGTGCCACCTCCTGCTGGAGAGCACACTGCTTAATGCAGTAAGTTCCGTGATAACAAGGTGTGTTAAACCTTAATGTGGGTTTATATGCACAGCTTTGAAGTACCCAAGTACATAGATTATGATCACAATCAGGGTGGCCTGGAGCTAACACGTTACTAAATAAAGGGGAACCGTAATGCTATTTTTATATTTCGGGATTAGAAAATATCAGTTCAGTTTATTTGTCATATGCTCATGTGCTATGAAATGCTTATTTGCTTGTATGCTCCAATACAAAGACATTAAAGGAATAACCAGAAACATAAACGCAGAACAGCAGCAGCAACAACAAGTTAAATAACATAAGCAGTGTGAGAAAAAAATATTGGCATTGATGAGTGCGTTTTAAACCACAATAAAAGTGAAATGTACACAGTAACTTGTACATCTTCCAATTTAACAAAATAGATCAGATTTCCAGGTATGCGCGATTCAGAATGAGGCAACAAAACATTCGGTGACGTGTTGCGGCCATATGCCTTTGGAAACAAGCAGGCTTGTGAATACATCTCTTTTAATCTGGTAGAAATATTGCTCTCTTGACTTGGAGAGAGTTTTGCTGATAAATACTACTTGCTAATTTTGCAAGCAAATCACATTGGAACATTTCTGTGGTGAAATGTCTGCTGCACAACATGTATTTATTCGCTCATCCATCACATTAATCATTACAGTGACTAGTGAGCAGGAAGGGCGGTTTCACGTCACAATTCATGGAAATTTGAATGTGAGTTTGCAACAACAGGGCAACTTACTTTCACAAAGTTCAGGATTTTGTGCTTAATTCCAAATTCATAAAATGTTTCTATAATGTCAATGAATTAATTTTGTTACCGAGATTAAATAACAGGTCTGAGAAACTGGAACTGCACTTCCCCTGTAAACTGCCGTATCAGTGCAGTGTTCAATTAGGCAGTTATACACATCAGATAGGAAAACACATCAGATATGTTTTAACTAGTAGTTCAGGTGGGTAGCTGTGTCAGCATGCGTAGGCTGCAAAGGAACAAGTAATAGGTTTATTCCATGCTGAAAAAAAGAAGAAAAACACAACGTTTCGGCCATGGAGCCTTCTTCAGGTGTGAGAAACACAAGGCAGTAGGCAAAGGTAAAGTAGCAGGAGAACAAAGGCTGGGAGGGAGGAGGAGTGAGAGGCGGGAGCAGGGGACAGAAAGAGAGGCTAATCAAGAGGTGTGAAGTCAGAATAGGTGTAGAGAGGTGTGAAATTAAACCTTCAATGAATGGAGAAAATTTAGAAGATTTAGAACAAATCTTCTAAATTTCTTCTAAAGAAAGCTAGTTATGTTTTAACTAGCAAAGTACTGTCTCGTAGAACAAGGGCATGAACGCTGTAGCTCGACGAAGCATGAAATCTGTACACTTTGGATTGAACAGCCAGGTGAAACGTGAGGATCCAGGATGTGTTGAAACTAGGCGAAGCAGGGGTGAAGGAAGCCGTCTCTCCCACATGCCTGGGCCGAGGCGAAAGGCGAGGGACGTCGGGGCCGCGTCTGGTCTGGACAGCCCTCCAGCGGTCCCCAGAATCGATCGCGCGTTGGTCCACTGCAGGAGGAGAGGTGATCCCTTGCTTAAAGTCCTGCTCTGCATTTCCTCCGCAGACCGTGTTCCTCATCTGGAACAGCCTGAATGACCCTCTCTTCGGCTGGCTAAGTGACCGCTCCTTCCTCAGCTCTCCACAGTAAGATCCCTACCTCACCGTTCGCTACAGAACCTGCTCTGCGTTTGACTGACCTCGAGGAGCGTTTGCTATCCTGGACACACATTCATAGAGCTTTACAGTTCATAGTTTCGTATCAAAATTCCCACCGATTAGCGGCAAGCCAGTGTGTGGAGCCTGTTGCCAAATGCTCTCTGTTTCTGTACGTGTGAAGAAGTAAAGGGCATCTCCTCCTCCTCACAGGTCTGGGGAGTCCATCTCGGCGCCAGAGGTAGTGTTGAAGAGGCTGAGGGCTCTCTCCAGAAGTGGGCCCCTGCTGGCGCTCTCCTTCCTGGCATTCTGGGTGGCGTGGGCCCCGGCCGGCCTGCAGTTCGTGGCCTGCCTGTGTTTGTACGACGGCTTCCTCACGGTTGTCGACCTCAACCACAACGCCCTGCTGGCCGACCTGGCCGTGTCCGCGGGGGACAGGACCCAGCTCAACTTCTTCTGCTCGCTCTTCAGCGCGCTGGGCTCCCTCTCCGTCTTCCTGTCCTACTCCTTCTGGGACAAGGAGAACTTCCTGTCCTTCCGGCTCTTCTGCGTGGCGCTGGCTGCCGTCTCCGTGCTGGGCTTCAGCGTGGCTTCAGGCCTGCTGCGGCGGCGGTTTCAGACCGAGGCCCGGGTCCGACAGGATGAGGCAGCTGCGCTGAAAGAGTAAGTCACCCCTTTCTCCTTCCGTCTCCCCCACTCTGTGTGTGCTCTCTCTTGCTGTCCCTCTCAACTGTCGCAGCTGTAGGAGCCGCCAGCTGTTGTCCTGTTTTTCATGCCCAAACGTTACTCGCCTTCTAGGTCTTGTGCCATCTGGTTTGCTGTCTTAATTAAACCCTAATTTTTTACGGTTTTCAACATCTGATATTTTCCTTCACTCAGTCCTTGGTTTCAGAAACTCCTATAGGCGTATAGTTTCCTTTTCAAGCTTTATTATCCTCTGGGGACTATTTGATTTGTGACACAGTCCTATACAACAAGGAGGACGAGCATCACCAATAGAGAAAACAACACAAGAGAGGTACGGGTGATTAGCGAGTGATTTTATAATGTTTGGAGTGATATAGCAGTCGGGATGAAAGATATTCTGTGTCTGTTGTACACAGATGCATCTTTTATATGGAGTAATGTAAATTCACAAGGAAGGGGGTGAGACACAAATGCCATAGTGCTCTTGGCCTTTATTACAACCCTTGGTTTGTAAAGGGTAGTTGATTTGATTTTTGCCACTTTTTTTCCACTAATTTTCCCCAACTTATTACTATAGTGCGACAGTAGGACAGCATTTCCAAGCCCTCTGGCAAAACAACTTTGTTGGTTGTGATATCAGATGTTTTAATTGAACTGTTTTGCTTCCTTCTAGTTAAGTGGTTTAGTTAATAAGTCACCAATTAACGAACCACAGGGGTAAGGTTTTCACACTCTTTCTGAAACCCAGCCCTTTGTACAGGAGTAATGCTGATGTCTGACAATGTTCAGCTTTCTGAAAATTTGCAGAACATGAACTGAAAAATTCCTTTAAGTAGAGTAAGAACTTTTTTTTTCTCAGACACAGGTGTTTCAAATTGTAACAGTCAGGACCCTGCAGAAAAAAAAGTAATGTAACACCCTGTCAGAGCTCATGGAGGCAAGAGACCTGGACTTGTTTAAAACAGAAGGTTAAGGTGTTTCTCAGTTTTTGTGCAGCAGTCTCTTGGAAGGAAGCCAGCAAAGGGACCTGGATATTTCGTGCTTGTTGCTGTGTTTTGAGTACATTTGTAGAGCCTAGGGCTGCTTCAGAATAGTTAATAACATGTTCCTAGTTTAAGGCATTTGGTACCTCAGGCAGGCTCTGTGTGTGTGCGTCTGTGTGTGTTAATGAAACTCAGGCTCTTTGAGGATGCAGCTCCTTGGAGCTCTGTGAGTGTCCCGTGTGATAAAGCTCCTGAGTGATTCGCTCAACAAAGATACTCGCTTAGAGTGCAGGATGACCTCTGTGGCCCGTGGTGGATGTGTTTGAGATACAGCAGCACACTGGGAATAGCTCATCTTCCTGCCCCAGTCCGTAAAAGAGAAGTTGCCACAGGTTTGCTTAGCAGGGCATCCCTTGGCGTGGGCAGTCCTGGGCCACGACTGGCTCTGCTTGCAGTGCTCGGAGTGAGGAGTACAGCGGGGTCTCGACATCTGCAAAGTAAATATTTGAGGATTTGCTTATTGGCAATTTTTGGCTGGCTGACGGGCTCTTGGAAGGAAGAAGAAAAGAGCAGTCTGAAACCACGCTGAAAATTGTTTACCACAGCTTTCAGATTAGAGGTGCTACAGACTAGTACTGAGGGAGAAATATAGTGATTTACAGATGAGGGAGCCCCTCCCTGCTCTCTCCCCGATCCCACTGTCCAGCACCCACATCTCAACATGGTATTAATATGTTTTCATATATTAGTAACAAACACTCCCGGGGAGGAATGACAGGCTGGAGATGACTCGACAGGTTTTTTGACAGTTTTATTGTCCTCTACATTACAGTGGGGCATGGAATTACGGAGGCACAGAGAGAAAATGCAGTTGTTTCTTTTAACTGATAAATATGGGTTTGTGATTAACTGTTTGCTTTAGTTGATCAGTGTTATTTAACTGAAAGCCAATGCATTAGTAGTTTAATCATTGTAGGTTAGTGTTACGCTAGCGTGTCCTAAAAATGCTAAGAGGATATGCTTGTGCGTATTCCAAGCCACAGGCATTTCTAAACAGCTGCAAGTAGCAGTTAGCTCCTGCTTAAGGGACCGTCCGCTACTTGTTACCTTACCAGGTGAATGTGAAATGAGCAAGGGTTAAACTGTAGAGGGCTTATTTATCATATAAGGGAGGGCTACTTATGCCTTTTAACTCTACATATCAGGTACTCTAGTACAGTGTGTGATAGGGCTGGAATTGATGTGAGTTAAGGTAGTCGTGGCAGTTCTCTGCTCCAAACCTTCACGAATGGTGAGACTCTACTGTCTCTCCCATCACCGCAGTGCAGTAATGTGGTGTCGCTGTGTTCTTCCGGCAGGCTGTGTGTGGGACAGGCCCCGCTGGCGCAGGAGAAGACGGTCACCCTGGGGGAGTATCTGAAACAGCTCTCCAAGCACAGGAACTTCCTGTGGTTTGTGTCCATGAACCTCGTCCAGGTGCATAATAATAATAATTGCTTACAATTATATAACGCTTTTCTGGACACTCCACTCAAAGCACTTTGCAGGTAATGGGGATCCCCTCCACCACCACCAATGTGCAGCATCCACCTGGATGATGGCGACGGCAGCCATAGTGCACCAGAACGCTCACCACACATCAGCTATTAGTGGGGAGGAGAGCAGAGTAATGAAGCCAGTTCATAGATGGGGATTATTAGGAGGCCATGATTGCTAAGGGCCAATGGGAAATTTGGCAAGGACACCAGGTTTACACCCGTACTCTTTTCGAGAAACGCCCTGAGAAACACGTAGAGAACACCGGCGCTGTGAAGACAGTCGGTCGCACTATCAGGTGGCTTGGAAAGGCACAGGGACTGCGGTGGCGGAGGTGGTGGTTTCCATGGTTTCAGATGGTGTGTTATGGCGCTGCTTTGCTGCCCCATGGTTGGTCTTTTGTTTCTTTTGACTTGAACCTCTTCCTCGCGTCCCCCTGCAGGTGTTCCACTGCCACTTCAACAGCAACTTCTTCCCACTGTTCCTGGAGCACCTGCTCTCCAACCGCATCTCCGCCTCTACGGGATCCTTCCTGCTGGGTGCGTGTGGGTCCCCCGCGCTCAGGGCTTGGCGCTCCCGGCACTAGTCTCCATATCTGTCTGCCGCCGCGGCCGTTACCTTGACGAGCACCCTCAAACGCAGCGAGGTGCAAGCCTACAGCGGGGCAGGAATTGCTACCTTTACATGCAGGAACAGCTCCACCTGCTGATCCTGAATTGATAACCATCTTATGGAAAGTGGCTGCTTTGAATGCCAAGATATTGGAGAGTGGTGCTCTGCGTACAGGATGCCAGCTTCTCCTCGGCTATATGAATTACCACCAGGATAGTGAATCAAGTAGATACGATACGATAACACTTTGTCTGATTTCGGAGAAATTTGTTTTGCATCCAAGCTGCTATGTTTTACATACATACATGAAACATAGTCACTTGATATAAGCATTACTTTACACCACTTCCACAGGAATCCACACAGCTTACCAGAATCCGTAAGTTTACTTCTTAAGTCACCCTAAGGCGCTATAAATGCCCATTGCCACTGCATTATTGCACCGAACCACTGCTTGCACTTGCCCATAAGCAGCCGTATAAGCAGGACAAATATAAACAGGGCTTGTATGCATACTCACATTAAGTTATCTTTGAAAGAAATGCATAATGTATTTGAAACTCCAGTTCATACGTGCTTGTACACAGTACATGTTTTAAGAATACTCTCCCTGTGTAAAAGCAGAGTGCATGCGTGTGTGGCCCAGAGCAGTCCTGAAGGCTCTCCGTGTGGTTACTGTTCGTCTGTAACGATGTGCCATGTCCCCGTGTCCCATTCAGGAATCTCCTACATTGCTCCCCACCTCAACAACCTTTACTTCCTGACGCTGTGCCGGCGATTCGGAGTCTACTGCGTCATCCGCTGGCTCTTCTTTCTCAAGCTGATGCTCAGCGTGGTCATGCTGCTGGCCGGACCGGACCAGATCTACCTGCTGTGCATCTTCATAGCCAGGTGAGCCTGTGAAACACCGTTAGCTGTATCAGTCAATCCAACAGCTCCTTGCCCGCTACAGCGCCGTGGCAGGCTAGGCTATGGTGGGCTCAATTACAGCTATGCTGCCTCTAGAGCCCATCAAAGGTCTCCATTATTGTAAGCAGACACACAGGGTGATGATGAGTTAATTGGTAATCGGTGGGAATAGTGCATCACCATGTGGTTTATTTAGGGGGTTTGCTGGCAGTATATGAAGCACATGGTGCTGGTGGTTCTTGGTTTACAGTAGCATGTATTTGTGGAGAGTGAGTACAATGAACGCTTCTTCATCATTTTGAGTTTTTACTGTGTTCAGTCTCCTGGAGACATCTTACTTAGATTGGGGTCTATCACAAATGACCTCTGCATCAGTTTGCCACAAGGCACTTCCCAAAGTGGTAATGCAGTTAGTATCAGAACTGGGCACGTGGGCACGAAGGAGACGAAAATAGACCTCGGACGGCACGAGACACAGCAGCTAATGTTACCGGTCAATTTGTTTGTAATTTGTAAGTCTAAATGTGGTTTTACACATGTTGCTTAACCCTACTGCCTTTCAGTAGGGCAGTATATAAAGTACATGGTGCTGGTGGTTCTTGGTTTTCAGTAGCAGGCTGTGTTTATGTATTTATGGAGAGTGTGTACAATGTCAGCTCTTGGGTTTGATTCTCGATTTGAAGCACATTCTGTGTGGAGTTTGTGTGTTATCCCTGTGTCCATATGTTTTATTGTACTCGGTGGTTTTTCCCCACTTCTGGAAGACACACTGGGTTCATTGGCATTTCTGCATTGTGCCCGTGTGCTTGTGTGCGTCTGGTGGTGGCCTGGCATCCCAGACATGAGTGACGCTTGAGAGCCCTGCAAGGGCCTGAGGGTAGCGGGATGATTCATTGCAGAAACCCCTGGGCTTTGCAGAATTTGTTTCAAGACTTGTTGTCATTTATTTGCTTAGAAAAAGCCCTTATCCATTACTACTATCAGCATATCTGAAATTGACATCATGTGTAAATACAAGGAACACCTATGCAAAGGTGAGGTTAAAATCAACACCGAGGTTGAAATCAAAATAGATTAAATTAATAATTAACAAGGATTCTCTTCTTGCTCATGTCAGTGGGCTGTGTGATGTCAGACCTGTGCAGATTTCTTGTGGTGTAGATGGAGCAGTAAGACTAACGCAGGTGGATGTGTCAATGGTCTTTCCGAGATTTTCAACAAAGTTGGCGCTGTGGAATTCTTTCACAGGTGAATGTTTTGGGTAGTGAAAGTGTGAACACTGTGTTGTCCCACAGTAACCGTGTCTTCACTGAGGGCACCTGCAAGCTCCTGAACCTGGTCATCACGGACCTGGTGGACGAGGACTTTGTGCTGAACCGGCGGCAGCAGGCGGCATCGGCACTGCTCTTTGGCATGGTGGCGCTCGTGACCAAACCCGGCCAGACCTTTGCCCCCCTCATCGGGACCTGGCTGCTCTGTTTCTACACTGGTATGTATATACTGTATACAGTACCTTCCACACAGGTACTCACGGCTCTGACCGCTGCCCCTCCACACTGGTCGCTGGTACGCACGGCTGTGGGAGGTGACTAGGACGGGCAGTGCCACAGTGGACAGACACAGAGTGCACAAAGTTAAAAGAGCAGTCGTGATACTAAGGTGCCATCTTGCCTTCAAATATTCCTGATTATAATACAAACCTCTTTGTCCGCCTACTTTAACAATAAAGCTGGAAGGGCATGATCTGTTTTACAATGCACACTCTGTTCTGTTAAATAGGCTAGAGGTACAGTATCCAGCGGTTCACAAGAAGTAGTGAAAGACTCACATTGTGCTTAAGGTAGCGAGGTAGTTCCCATGTGCAGCTTGTAAGGAATCCACATGATGATTTGTCCATTGAAGCCCCTTAAAGTTCGAAAAGCTTCCATGGAATACGCTCATCTCTCACTGTACACACACAGCTCCTTCCAACATTTGTGCTTGTCGGCAAAAACTCACACAACACTAACTTACTATTTCAATACACATGAAAGTGTATGATACATTCCAAGTGCTCAAAACTGGACATAAACCAGTTGGGGTTAGGTATGATTATGATATATTTGGCAATACATTGCTATGTATATGTTAACAACAAGTAGAAATTACCAACCCTTTTTTTTCATGCAAGCTGTTTAAATGTATTATGAAACAGTTACATGGAGAAATAGAATTTGCATGATCTCTGTAATACACGTGAACAATAAACATAACATGTTGGTTACTAAATTGTTAATTTTGTACAGACTGAATAACTTTCTATGAATAAGTCATAGACCCATAACTTTAAAAGGAAGATCAAGCTGGTGATATTGCTACTGTTCATATCAATTTAACCAATTATACAAACTTTAATTCTACACCATAACTGATATAATACCTTTCCAGTGTCTGTTTTGATGTTTAAGAGGGTAACAGCCAAGAGGAGTGGAAAAACAAAAATGGAAGGACGAGCTACACGCCTGGGGAAAATTCACTCCTACACAGAGCTATTTTTGTCACTCGTTTTAGTGGGTACTCGTAAATTAAGTGCTCGTTAAAAGAGGGATACGCATATTAAATAGCATTTGTTTGTGGCTCATTGACTCCAGGTTGAAATTGTTTGTGAAGTTTTAATCTTTGCAAAGCTGTTCTTCTGGGGGGAAACTCCTTGCCCAGGCAACACATGGTATGGGGTCATCTGGGTGGAACGGCGACACGTGAGGCCCAAACGCGTATCTGCGTTTGGGCCCTCTGGCTTGCCCACCTCTAACCCGGAGCCTCGCCCTCTCGCCCTGCAGGCTACGACATCTTCCAGACAGACGCCCTGCAGGACAAGGTGCCCCCCCCGGCCCTGCCCCCCCCGGCGCTGGCCCCCACCCTGCGGCAGGGCTGTTTCTACCTGCTGGTCTTCGTCCCCATCACCTGCGCCCTGCTGCAGCTGCTGGCCTGGTCCCGCTTCAGCCTGCACAGCAGGAGGCTGCGCACCATCAAGAGCCTGCGCCAGGGCGGCCAGCAGGACCGGCCCTGCACCGTCAAGGCCATCTGAGCCTGCCTGAGCCCCGTCTCGGCCAGCAAGCACACCTGCCTTATTTTGATATGAAGAGAGACAGATCTTTTATTTATGTACGCAGCGCAAAACCGTCGACCAAAAATAGTCTGAAGGAGGACGTTCTTTTTTTATTTAAAACTTGACCTCGGATGAATTGCTTGTCTGAAGTGCAGCTCGGACCTAGTCCTGCGCAGGCGGAGCTGTAGCAGGTGAGCACTGTAACAACACCGGGACCAAACTGTCCGTCACAGTGTGCCAAATGGTTTCATTCAGGATATTTCCGAGGTCCTCGGAGTTCTACACCATTGAGGAGCTCTGGGTTTTAATGCATTTTAACAAGTACCGGCTGTTTCGGGAGTTTTGACAACTGAAATCTCAAACACTGTTAGCATTTTTGCACTTTTTTAGACCAGTGCTACCTTTTGAAAATTTTATCACCACTACTTCAGCCCTAATGAAATGTAATCTTACCTCTCAGGTTACTTGTTTGAAAATTGTTTGTGACTTTTCCTTATACAGTACTGTGTTCTGAGGTGCAATTTTGAATGATGAATAAATCTGCAGGTCGTTCCGTCTCAAGAATTGCATATGCAGCAGCATTTCTTTGGAGATGTCAGCAGTGCTTGTAGCATCATTTCATCACGGTCTTTTGCCCATTGTGAAGCAAAGCACTGCTGTGCTGGTTAGGGCTGTGCCAAATCATAATATTTCTTCATGTCCTGTATACTAACCCAATCTGGATCTGCAGATCTTATTAGCCCTGGCTGTCTAGCACCCAATCAGGAGTGCATAAGATATGTAACGGCCACTCCCACATGCACACACCCCTCCCACATTAACAGGCCCCTCCCACATGCACATTTCCAAAGCCAGTCATCATTGGACGCACTCAGACCTTCACAGGTTGGCAGATCAATCTTAGTTCTGGTGAATCCTGCTCATGGTTAGCTAAACCCCAATCTAACAGTCCCCGGCTCATAAATCTCATCCTGCTTTCCTGGTTGAGCAATTCAGAAACCCGGGCATTTGTGCTTTTCAGACACAGTTAGGTTGTGGTGTGTCTTATCGCCTCACGGCTGCTTTTCATTTTCTTTTAAATTGCCCAGTGACGTCCAGGAGGGTTTCACCTCAATCCAGTAGCTCTGAAATCCCAATACCAGTCATTACATCATAACCATTGATGGCATCAATGGAAAGCACTTTGCTAGTGCTTAGTCACTGGCAGACAAGTGCCTTATGTAATGTGAGAAACTATTCATGACAGGGTATTGTTTTAGCGTCTCACGGGCTTTAGTCAACCATTAACTAAGCAAATTGCTCCCTGGCCAACAACAGGCATGTGAGAAGTTGTATCGGTGGCTAATTGCCAAATCCCCTTTGAAGTGAAATGTGTCATTTAACAAAGTGAGCTTGTGTCTGGAGACCTCTGCATTTGTCAGCCCAGACCTACTGATGCTTCTTCTCTAGTGAATGCCCTTCAAGATACAGCTCTCTACTAAATATCATTCTGAACTGCAGCTCAAAACAAGGTTTTGTAAATTCAAGACAGGGTATGGGAAAGATAAAGCAGAAAATAGGAATAATTTTCTCTCTCTCTAGGAGAGGCAGATCCTTGGTACAAGGCACTGTAGCTTTTATGAAAATGTCTGTACAGTGACTGCTGAGTCTGGAGATTGGTCTGGAGACCAAGATTGTTCTTGGTCTAGGTTCTTGGTCAATGTCTAACTTAAGTTTTTTTTATTAATTTTAAAATTCTATGACTGACTTTCTTATGTGGATTGAGTTTGAAGGTAATCACTGAAAAAAACCCTTGATTTATAGAAAAGTAAAAGTATTCTGTTGCAGGCACTGAAGAAGTCAACCAATTTTAAAACTATAAATAGTTTTAGAAGATATAAGGGTTCTGTCTAACATTTCTGCAGTGCACAGTGTTCCATTCGGTATGGCTAAATATGGATTTATTATATGCCAGAACTCTGTGGGTGTCTGCACTGTGCACTACTTTCCCAGTCATGGTCTGACATATAGTATCACTGCATTTTGCCTTCCGCCCTCTGAAGGGGTCCAGCCATCCGTTACAAAAAAGTGGTTTGATCATGGGTTCAATCCTAGATCATGTCACTAGCCGACTGTGACTGGGACACAACTAACTGAACTAACTGCTTCCGACTAGGGATTAGTCTTCAGGGCTCAGTCACCATGCTGCTGTTGAAGGACTTCCTGCACAGCAATTGGCTCACAGGTGGGCTGGTGGGTGGAGTCAGCCTGCCCCACCCCACCCCATTCTCCCCCGTGTGCAGTGTGCAGGGTTCAGGACTCTGGCCTGAGACATCAAAATCACACAGTTGACTATCTGAAGTCTATCTAGTGGTTGATGACAAAAATAACTGATGATTCTTTTTTATTTAGTTGTAATGTAAGGTTTATTCCAATTTCATAATTTGAGAGGGAAAATCATAATCCTAATTAGGATGTTTCATTTATTCCACACGTTAAAAAATAGACAACCGAGTTTTTCAGTGCCTCTGACTCGAAGGCTTTTCCTCATCAGATAGGCAGTCAGATCGCACAGTGGGCTTCAGTCACAGCCCACACACAGTGCCAATGGGACTGGCATGTCAGCACAACAGAAGGGAGGGAAATACACAAGTGCTTTATGTTTCATGGACCAAATGTTAAGATGGGAATAACTTTGTTTTTAAACTATTTGTAGCCAGATATGTCTGATTGTATCTTTTCTCAATGAAGTATTTTGTCATTGTCAGCTATGTTTTGTAACTAAAAAGCTCGTTCCTCACTCATCTTGCCTTCTGTCCTGTGTCTTGTGCATCTTTTTCTGAGTCATTCAGGTCTCTTAAGCCATCAACGGAAACCTTGAATTACTTTTTAATGCCCTGTTTGAAGTCTGTATTTTAAGGCGAGGATTCTCAATCCTAGACATCTCTCTCATGAGCTCTTAATTAAGTTGAATTTGACCGGGAAGAGCTTTTCATCTGATCTTAACTCCAGTCCTTAAAGGGGTTCCCCCCCAGCAGGATTTAGAGGTGTGTAAACATCTCCAGCTTCTCAAGAACGGGTAAAGGCTTCACCTTATTCAATTAAGCAGACCATGATTTCAATTAGGTTATTCGGGTATCAAGTGGAAGGAAATCCAGAAACCTTCAACTGTCACTGCAAGCACATGTGTGCACAGAAAGCCAAGGAGATGCTGGTCAGCTAAAACCCACCTTGATCTGTGGTGCTGGGGGAGTCCTAGTTACAGGGGGTTAATGCCATGGTCTTGACTTGCTGAGCCATCAAACAGCGGTTTTCGAGGAGAGCAACAAGAGCTTCCACCAAGCAGGGAGTTCCTGCAAAACAAGCCTGGTCTACAGGGTCTCACTGCTGTTGCTGTCATCTGTTTTCAGAGAATAAATGTAGTTTTCCCTCCTTGTGACCGTGTCAACAACAGATGGAGGTGGGACCAGGGTCCAGCAGTGTCCAGTTCTCAGCCATTGGGGGACTTGTTGGACATTCTCCATATAGCCACGTTGTCTAGGCACCATTTTGACACTAATATACTGTAGGTTTTAAGGTTTACACTGGTGGATTAGTAACAATGCACTAAAGAATGCATCATGTTGCAGACGTCAGAACTGTGTTGCTTTGCTTGCACTTGCAGGAGCCAGGGTGTGCAGACCCTCTCCTGTTGCAGCTTCTTCATGGATGACCATCTCGACCGATTCTGTGCTTGGTTTTTGCTTTGCTTCGACCACAAATTCACCCATCTGCACAAATGATCTGGTCAGCTTTCTCTATCCTAGCAGCACAGGTCAGCTCGGCCAGCAGGGCCGAGCAACATCTTTGAAGCCAGTTTGCCAACACTTCTCATCCACTGATACACAGACAGCTGGTGTCATACATCTGTTTCATCCTGATCCGAATGGTGTTAAAAAGTTGTCACTGCTCTTTTGGCCGGAATGTTACTGCTTCCAGAAATTCCAGAACTTAGGTGTAGAATTTCAGTGTGCTAAAGCAAAGCTGGAAATGACAGGGACAGAGTCCCGTGACCAGGCAAAATGGGATGCTGCCGCCGTTGTATCAACAGGGAGGAAGTGAACTCCATCTGAGGCAGTTCAGCTCACAACTTCAGGAGACATTGAAGGTCAACTACAGCAGGGGAGAACAGGGTTTGGCCTGGAAGTAAGCAGAGCAACCTGGCACCTTCACAGCGCTAAGAAGCTACTGGGCCAAAAAAATAACCACGATGAGATTGTCACCAAAACAGTTTGAGTCAATTCTTAAAATCTTCTGGATCGCTGTTCCTTTTGCATCATCCTAGTGAATGCATGTTTTGCTTCTAAACGACTTCAGCCTTTAGTATGGCAATCAAAACAAGTGTTTCTGTGTTTGCTATCCTGCTTGTGAACTGAAGGCTATAAGGTAAAGTGGACAGCAGGGTGAGTACTGCATGTACACAGGAGACTCTGTGTACTCCCCGCTCCCTCACATTCTGCTGTCAGAATTAAAACTAAAAATGCGGAAGGCTGAAACATACTGGAAAAATGACAACATTTTGTACATGAAGGCTTTTATTAAGGTTTTGTTCCAAGTACAGTGACACTACAGGTCTGCGATTGTAACTTGTGTACAGTGTGATACCAAAGCTTAAAGAATTAACAGCTAAACCAGGGCAGCCCATTACTGAAGCTCGAAGCACAAAAGGACAAACAAGGACACAATTGCCTGCTGTCACTCAAAGGAAAAGTGAAAGTATGAAATCTGTTTAGTCCTCTCTTGCTAATAAGAATTCTATTAATGCAAGTCTATGCTGTAGCTTTCATTAAAAGGCTCCAGACCAACAGGTTCAAAACCACTATTATTGTATGCAACAGCAACACCTGCTGAAAGTAAATGCACAGGGAATATACCTTCTTATACAGCCAGCTGATTTAAATTTAGAACGGACATCCTTTGTGTAGCATTATGGTATAAACTCCTAAGGCCAGTGATGTTCCCTGTAGTCCAGTAGGATTACAGTCCACTATCTTTTATGGGTAATTTAATATCAGTGAGTAAAGAGTGTTAAAGAGACAGTTGCTGTATATTATTATTAAAAGATCTGGAAACAGTGCAATACTACACTTGATCTTAGCCAAAAGGCCGAGAAGCGGGAAACAGTGCAATATGGACCAAAACAAATCATTAAGAGTCCGGGAAAGAATGGAAACCAGAAGGCAGAACACCCCCTCCAGGACTAGGAATGAATATCACGGCCTTAGGGTGGCTGTTTGTGGTCAAAGAGACGTTTGACACCTCTGGTCTTATACCAGAGAGGAAAGTGCTACATCTCTAGTAAGCACATTCCTATAAATGATGTGACCCCCCCAGGCAGTGCCATCTAGATAGTTGGAATGATTTTTGCTCAACTACTGTAAAAATTAACAAAACAAATCAATGTCACTGGAGACCTCGGCAAGCATTTAAAAGATCAAAAACTACATAACAGCAGGATGGTGGCAACTGCACTTCTTAAACTGACACTAGAGCTCCCTGGATACTTACAGTCAAAGACCAAAAATGTAGAGAATTTGCAATCTGAACCTTGTACAGCATTTAACAATTTAAGAAATAAATATAGTCCAATGAGGGATTAAGGTGTTTTTTCTGTCCGTCCCTGTGACCCACTTCAGACAAATCCATTAAACTTGTGATCTGGTAGGTTCTGGCTCATTCTGACTCCAAATATACAAGGTTTTCAAGCTGAAAATTACCAACAGCCCTGTGCCTTAAAGACCTTCACATCCTTACCAGCTGAAACGAACCAGCTTGCAAAGGTACTCTTAAACCCTCAACACAAGGATTCCCCTCAAAGGTAAAGGAGTCTGCCTGACTGCAGGTTGAGCTCTATGATGCAGATGTCACAGGTTAGAGTCTGGATTACGTCACTATGTACCTGAACAGGGGCGCAAATAGCTAAGTATTGCCAAATTTAAAGAGGGATTAGTCAGCCAGGGCTCTCCTGGCTCACAGCGACGCCTGTGACCTGCGCTGCTGTTGGGGAGGGAAGCACCTCCCTCTAATCAGTGATGAAAACGGGGTGGTGCCGCCTGTGACATGCTACAAAGCTATTGGCTTAAATTGGGTGGGTAGGAGGAGTTTGCTACACATCCTCCTTCTCCTGTGTGCGGTTGTGAGTTTTCATAAGGTTTAACTGAGGTATGAAAAACAATCACAACTGCAAAAACATAAAATAAACAAAACAGTAAATCCAAACCTTGAGAAAAACAATTCCCCAGAATGATGAGAAGGGGTGGTTCACAGCAAAGTCATTTTGACTACTCTTTCTGCCTCACCTTCTAAACAAAGACCCATCCAAGACACATCACCTTTATACTTCAAACCCAAACCAGTCAGCCTGGCCCCAGAAAGCAAAGTCATATGTGCGGATTACATTCCAGCCATGCAACCGTTCATGCGTGCCTCTTCTGAGCGTTCAGGACAAACAGTCCCTTGGTCCCTGGTCTAACCTCATGTGGAATACGGACACCAGCCAGAAAGAACATGCTGACGGCTCTAGGAGCATGACGTCATGGTCCTTCTGCACTGTGCTGCACGATCGAATACATCGTGCTGGACTAACGTCAGTAGTACATTAAAGGCAGGAATCCCTTTAAAAAGAGGAGATTCCCAACTGAGAGGGATTCAGGACAAATCCAACATGCATAACAAAATATGACGAAGTGCAGTGCAACTGAAAAAGATTCAAACAGTGCTTCCCTGCCTGTGAATATAAGACAAAAGTAGGTTGAAAAAATGGAGTGTTTGCTTCCAGCAGTACTGTTCTCTGAGTGTGAATTTTCCTACTACAGAAGTCATCTGATATCCAGATCAGTCAATGTCGCCATGGAGTCTTCTGTCTGTGTCTGCCCACACTTACAGCTGCTGTGGGTTGTTCCATGCTAGCAAAGCGTTATCAGTGCTGGGGGTAGGATCTTCACATTAAATTACTGTAGAGTGTGTGCCAAATCTTCCCCGGTCTGAAAGCACTTACAAAACAATGCAGATTCAACAGAAAGATTGGTGGAGACCAGTAATCAAGAATGTGATCTGTTGTCTTATACTGGTTACATTTTGCACCTTTATCAAAAAGGCCTGAGCACCACTTTTTTATTCTTGTGTTTATTTACAACATCAGATTGCTGCACTTTTATTGACCTCACATATGCATCTAAACCACAACCTCTCAAATGGAAATCAATTTTATATAAGAAAATTATGTGTCTTCCTTATTTGATGACTTTTCAGATTGTGAATTGGAAATAAGGAACATGCTGTATTGGTAAATATCTGCTACTTTTTGGGAAATTTTACATGTTATTTTGCTGTTCCATCATGGAAGAAGAAAGCTGGGCTGAACCTCCATATTCTAAGGGAATAATCTCCAAGGATAATTATAAAGGAATGCAGAACTGTGCTAAATTTGAATGTGTTGCATGTAAAATGATTTCACAAAAGCAAATAATATCTACAGCGATGGGCTGTTTCTATGAGCAAAGCCCAACAAATACAGACCTAAAGGGGTTCAAATGATGCTTCACACTGTTGTGTGTTTAACTAGTGTTTTATTTGATTGTTTTGGACAAAATGAAGATCAGTGGCATCTGAGGTTGTTAACTCCTGTGCACTTTCAGTACCTCCAGGATCATTCTCAAATACTTTTTCAAAGCGTTTTTTGTTGTTTTTAACTACATCAGACAGTCCTGAATGAACCAAATGGCTCCTCTCGTTTGTGACCTGTCTTCTATCATTAGTAAACCTTTGTCCACAGGGTTATAAAAGGGCGTGACAAAAAACATCCCTGGACTATTTTGTACCTGAAAAGAAAGTGTTGGGAAAAGAACACAAATTATAGGTCTAGTAAATGATGTCTTCTATAAAATATAAACTGATCTGCAACTGATCTGTCACTTTGGAGATCCATTTATAGTCTAGTCTGAACTAAGGCTGTTATAAAGGACTCCAGAAGGGAGCAGGCATTTATTTTGTTCTGAATTGCGTAAATATTGTAAAGATCACCAACTACCACTTGTGTCAATAACACACCTGGGCACCAGCAGCGAATACTGTACCTGGGTCTGCTCCCTCACAATCTACACTACAGGACAAAGCCCGCACTGACAAGCTGTTACACAGGACATGTTGGACAGATGCCCTAGACTGCAGACAATTTAATTACATCTCATACAAGTCGACCGCTCTACAGATTCTCCGAAAAGAGAAATAATTCCAAATAACAAATAACGGTGAGCCAAGGACATGTGAGAAGCTGACTGTAATGAGCACTAATGTCAGGGCAGGCACCTGTGCTTATACATCAACTAACAAATGCAACATTTTGGCAACTAAAACAAATACATCTGGCTAGGAAAGTAACAAATGTATCTGGCTAGGAAAATTGGGCTAATTTCTATTAAAAGTACCCTTTTGTAGCATGAAACTAAAACTGACTTGCAGGTTATCAGCATGGTACCTGTGTGCAATGGTTCACTGTAAAGTAACTAACAAACTCTCATTGCTAAACATGCCGAGAAGCTCTGGGAAAACGCAATGGGACAGACTGGCCCAGCAGGGTCTCGACAACTGCACAGTTGCAAATTCGCGCTTCAGTCTGGCCGACACGCCCTTGGATAGAACGGCAGAGCAGGATGAAACCGAGCTGAAGGTGGCTCAGAGCAACTTTCAGATCAGCAGCGCAACAGACTAGTCTAGTTGGTGAGATGAATCTTGTTGGTAACCAAGACTGTCCCTGCCCCCTGCCCCAGTACCCACTGACCAGCGTCCCCACCTCAGCGTGGTCTTGTTTCTGTATTGTAACAGACACTCCTGGTTCTGTGGCGGAATGATTGTGTGGGGAATGACAATCTGGAGACGACTCTACAGGCTCACTGACAGTTTTATTGCCCGTTTCTGGACACAGAGGAGGGATTCATGTTGTATATTTTAACTGATTAATATAAGTTTGTGATTACTGATGTTTGTTTTAGCTGATCAATGTTATTTTAATTAGCATGAAGCCAATTCATTAGTACTTTAATTATCAAAGGGACAGGTAAAGGTGTATTCCACGCTGAAAAGAAATGAAAAGAGACACAACGTTTTGGCTGAGGAGCCTTCTTCAGGTGTCAGGCGAAGTAGATCCACAGCCGAAACACTGTGTCTCTTTTCTTGTCTTTGCAGCCTGGAATAAACCTTCACTTGTTCCTTTGCAGCCTACGCATGCTGACGCAGCTACCTACTTGAACTTCTTTAATTATCATATAAGTGAGGGTTATTTATGTCTTTGAACCATACATACTATATACTGTAGTGCATTATGAGATGGTATACAGGTGGACTAGGTTATATGCAAATTTGCCAGTTATCTACTCTGAACCTTCGCAAAAGTGAAGGCTCTACTGTAGTAAATGACCTACATCCGGCACAGCACAGTGACATCACAGCGCGACTTGATATGTCAAACCCTGATATGTCAAAAGCAATGCATGTCATAATCATTCTGGGGATTTGGGATCCATGCTTCTTATAACATTAACACGTTGTGCAGGGTGTTGACAGCCTACCTCAAACACTCTGCAGAACAGCAGGTACATCATATGGGCAAGCAATGGGGGACAGTTTTGGCTAACACGAGGCTGTTGTAGTCATTCGGAGAGATTGTGCTCGTGAAACTAGTGGTAAGGCCAAATACATCCACATCAAAATTAAAGCACTCCCCCCCCCAATTCCACTGCTAGAACTTCCTCTACCATCATCATCTGCTCATACTACAAACCACGTGACCCTACGTTCATGTCTAAAATTCTCAAACAGGAGAACAAACTACATAACCTTGGGCACTCTATGTTCTATTCAGGGACACCAACTCCTCATGAAATATTGAACTATTCCTTTAAGGCATAAATAGAGACACACTTGCACAGACCAACTAGCTTATCAACAGCTTTCAAAACCCCCACCATGTCGGCAGCAGAGCTTCCTCTAAAACCCCAGACTCGGCAGCAGCCGGAGCAGCTCAGCGTGGTGAAGCGGAGGAGCCCCCTGCACAGCGCTGATCCAGAGATCTTGAAGGACGCTTAATGGCCGAGCTGAAACCCAGAGTGCACCCTAAATGTGCACCACGCTGCTGGGTGGAGGTGCTTTAAAAAACAAACAGAGGACGTTGAGGGGTCAGGGCAGGAGGACTCCAGATATGAAGATATAGGACTCCAGATGGCTCTGTGGCTAAGGATCTGAAAGTTGCTGGTTCGTAAACCAAGCGGCCGGCAGAGGAATCCTACTCCGTTGGGCCCCTGAGCAAGGTCCTTAACCCCAACTCCAGGGGCCCCATATAAATGGCTGACCCTGCGCTCTGACCCCAGGCTTCTCTCTCCCTGTCTGTGTGTCTCATGGAGAGCAAGTTGGGGTATGAGAAAAGACACATTCCTAATACAAGAAATTGTATGTGGCTAATAAAGGGATCTTATCTTATCTTTTCCTCAGACAGACTGATAGGAATCTGTTACCACGGCTCACCAGCCCCCAGATCTCTCTCTCTCTCTTTCTCCACGTCGCTCTTCACATCCAGTCCTGCAGTCACAGCTACACACCAGCCCTCAGACAAGCGCCCCCCCAGGAGTGAAAGCAGTTCACAGGGCCTGAAAGCGCCCAGTTAGAAGGTCTTCCTGTGGATAGCTCGGGCGCCGTCCTCCTCATATTCCTTCTTAGACACCCACATTTTCTTAAAGGTGTCCAGGGAGGCCAGGATGGAGCCACTGCAGGGAAAGAAGGACATATTAGAACACGTCATGGTCCAGGAGCCAGCGGACGCATGACAAGCATGGAAGAGAAAGGCTGTCGACTTCATGTCCTACGGAAAAGAAGCAGACATTCCAGATTCCTGGAACACACAGCAGCCATGTCAGACTCTACTCTTAAACACGTACAAATTTGTACATTTATAGGCAGAAATCTCTTTATCAATGGCTAACATGAACAATGTAAAAGGATTACTTATTAGTACAAAATTCATTTCATTGAACAACTTCTCAGACCAGAGGTCAGATGTGCAAATTCTTTCTGCAGAGACACTTAGATCAGGACACGTCAATGGTACTTCTGTTCCGAAGCACAGGGAACAGGGAGGTTCAGTATTGTTACACACGACTTGGTGGCAGAGACAAGCCTTGAACCGAGAACTTCCTGGTAATCAGCACTTAATATTAAACCATAGACTACCTAGTCTCTGGATGCACTGCATTCTATGCATTCCATTATAAAATATTTCCACAGCAGAGGTAGAATTGGCTTGTCAGTAACCAAGGATTTGATTAATTCACTGTAATATTTAAGTGCAGCGATTTGCACTATAACTTTGCAGGCCCTTTCTTCAATTCCAGTCCTGGGGTGCTATCTGTGTGGAGTTTGTATGTTCTCCACATGGACTCGTAGGTTTCCTCTGAGTTCTCCAGGTTCCTCTCAAAGTCTAAACATATGCTGGGAGGTTAATTAGGTTCTGGGAAAATTCTCCCTGGCGTGAGTGTGTGTTTGTTTCTGTGTGCCCTGCAATGGACTGGAGACCCATACCCCACCTCATGCCCATAGCTTACTTGATAGGCTCCGGCTCCCCTGCAACCCTGAATCGCATGGAGCAATTAGAAAATGGGTGGATGGAAGAATTGTGCGTGCTTATAATCAGTATTTGAAAAGAATTTTAGGTGTAAACTACATCCACAGAAAAATCTTTACTACACTGATAAATAACAGTGGAAGCTGTAATTCTGCGAAGACTAAGGCAGTTGAAAAATGGTGAAATGAGGCGATCAGCAGCTTTTCCACCTCAAAACCTGAAGTCATCACTCAGACAATTTAGCTGGGCAGGTCCATAATGTCCTTCCTTCAAATGAGGCATCCAGACTAGGTATTCATTATTAACCCCATAGCATTTAGAAGAGTATTAGTGTTATCCCTGATATCCTAGCTAAATTCCAGTCTGTGCTTGCACAATATGGGCTCCTTAAAGATCTCCTTCATCTTAAGTGTTTAAACAATTTCTAAATTACATCTAGTTTCTGCTCCACTGGGTCTAATAGACATAACTGTGATGATTAGGAGTGGGGATACAGGTATTCCTCTCCAGCTACAGTATGAGTGCAGAGAGTGAACTCACCCAATCCATGTGGAATATAACCTCTCCTGGGGAGCAGAGATCTGGAAAATGACAGCAGGGAAGACAATCAGATACATGAATGGATTTGACAGAGAGATTGGGTGATGTACAATATATATGAATAAGATATGTATTACCAAGAGATTTCTTATGTCGATGGGTATTTGTTTTTCTTGATTTCCATAATACGCAGCATGGTGGAGCAGGGGTTAGCATTGCTGCCTTGCAGGGCTGGAGCCCCGAGTTGAATTTCTGGGGTGCTATCTGCATGGAGTTTGTATGTTCTTCCCTGTGTTCATGTGGGTTTCCTCGGGGTGATCTGGTGTTCTCCCACAGTCCAAAGACATAACAGTACATTAATTGACATCTGGGAAAACTGTACTGGGTATGAGTGTGTGCTTGTCTGTGTGTTCGTCTGCTCTTTTAAAGACTGGTGTCCTGCCCAGGTAGTACCCTGCCTTGTAGCAGTTGATTGCCAAGATAAACTTCAGCTTTCCTGTGACCCTGAATTGGAAAAAGTGGTTAAAAAATGGATAGATGGATGGATTACAAAAATAAAGCAAAGAAGGGAGCAGTATGCCAAGCTTAAGAGCTCACAGAAACAATGGGAAAGGAGAAGCTAAGCAAATGGGTTCTGCATATCAGTAAAGGGCAGCTGGCACCAAGTCAAACCTCTTTCTGCAAGACGGATTTCTGTGAATTCATAAAAGCAAAGGCAAGCCTTAGAGAAGCAGACTCTTTTTAGAACTAAAGCTTAGGTCGCCTTTTCCTCACAGATAGTTTTGGACTAAATGAAATGTAGTTGTTTGGATTTGAAAGATCCTTGGGCACAATGAGCCTTGTATCTTGCGTTACCTGCCCAGCTGACAATCCTGTTTCAGGAGAGACTCAGCAATAGTAGCACCACAGGACTGAGGAAGTAGCGAAGAGTCTCTGGTGGCCTCTCTGTACTGTCATTGCGTGGCTATATACTGGCTTCAATTCTGGCTCTGGGAAGTCCACCTATGTGGAGTTTGCATGTTCTGAGTTCTGATTTTGGTTTCCTCCCAATGACAAGCAGGTGAAGTTTGATTTGGCTACTCTACACTGAGATGGAGGGGCCTGCTTCCAATGTGCCCAGGATTGGTTATGTAACTAAAACACAACCAAATGAGTATGATATTCCCAAATGGCTGCCAAACATTTGTAGTCATTCTGGAATGTCAACCTTGAACACAGAGCGGGTGCATACATACACACTCCATGGGCTAGCTCCCCTTTCCAGACAGCCTCTGTCAACTTACTTTGATTTTGACGTCTTTCGGCGCTAGCTTCTTCACTTCACTCAGAAGTCTGTCTCCAAATCCTGTAAGAACAGAGTCAGGGTCTGTGTCAGATCCTACTGGAAGTGCAGTGCTTTGGGGCTGAATAAGAATAAAACATACTCTGCTATCATGCAGGGTCATATACAGTAGATCATGTTGATCTATAACAAAGCCTTTTAAGACACAGAGTTATCCCGAAGAACAACAAATCATGTGACCAAACACTTTCCACTTGTTAGTCTTTATAAATTCAACCAATTGATCCCGCAAATCTACTGCCTAGTTCAAAACAACATTCATTGAATCTGA